TTACTCCTACAGCTACACAGCCCAGGACCCCCATCTTATAAGACATATCCAGCTGTTAACAGGTAAGCACTAGGAATAAGTAATGAGAAGGCTGATATTCTCTTAGAAAGGAGTGTACCTTTTGCCTCCCTCACACCTCCTACATTCACTGCTGTTTCTCATCCAGACCCTGTTCATGTTACTTACTTGCCTCCTCAACAATCTCAATGGTATTCCACGTGGGTAAAAAGTGTCACCTCATTAAAAACTCTCAAGAGATGGATGGTTTCTCTGTGTGTTATGGGAGCTTAACCTCAAGCCTGATTATTAAACAAACAAAAAAGACCCAAACACACGCCCCTCCCCAGCCCCCAACTTTTATTATTTCCATATAATCTCAGTAAAGAGCAAGACCCAGGCTGAAATGCCCTGTACATGCTGTAGATATTGCTATATTCTCCATGGCAATTATTTCAATCTGGAGCCTGTAAATCCATGATGAGTGGTCCTACAGTACTGAACTTTGCTGGTGGCATCCAGCCTCCTCTGCCAACGTTCTTCTGCCTTAGGTTTCTTTTTAATTCATCCAGGCTTGGTTATTTCTCTCCTCTTCCTGGCTGAAGAATGAAGCTGTTAGCTTCCACTACTTAATCTGTCTTCTCACTCACCAGTAGACTTCTTCCAGGAAGAGGTTTCTGATAAGAAATCAATTTAGATTCTATTCATAGAAAACCACACAAACTTCAGAGTGAATCCCGGACACTGACTGTAACTATTTATAGACACTGAAATCAGACTGGACACAAGGTCAATTTCTCTTTCAGGCTGCAAAAAGCAACACTAGAAAAAGGATGTTGTCCATCATTTGAAGTTCTGGTAGCTTCTTCCAAATAATTTGCCATATACGTGGCTTCCAAATGCATTTTTTTTATTTGCAAGGACAACAGGAGTTGTATTACCACCCAAAGGATTTAATGCAGATAAATCCTTATAGGTCACACTGAAAATGTAATCTGGTATGTACTGCTGAAGACTGGAAAGACACAGCTTCTTGCCTAAAGAACGTTTTCCAAAGTCCTCACTCATGCACAGCACTCAGTGTCATCAAAAAGATCTGCATTCACAAAGAGTAGGTAAATAAATATTCTGAGTCTTGTTTATTCTATACCAGTGTAAAAACCCACCAAAATGATCAGAAATTACACTGACACCCACATTAAACCCCTTCTGTATTAGCAAAGTGGTGGTACCAGGGCCATACAGCAAGCTAGAATAAGATCATTCATCTATAATAATATCAGTAAGGCAAGTAGTACGTTTCCAGTTCTTTTCTTACATGTGTTAGTGCAACAGTGTCAGAGACATGTCTGAATGTCTGGAGAAGACACGTATGAAATATGTGGAGCCAGTTTAGTGCTTTACAACACAACTGTCCTGAAGAAGGGATCACACCTATTCCACAACCTTTATCCTGAAGGCTTAAGACTTCCTTGAAAAACTAACAAACCACATTTCATGTCAAAGTTTAGAAAAGCACACTCTTATAATAAAGTATTTATAGCAAAAGTTACAAGTAAGAGCGAGCACCGTTTAACACGCAGCTCACTAAGGAGTTGGCAGTCTAAATATGTTGCAAAAAATACAGTATGTCTGCATTTTGAGTAGCATCGTTGTGCTTGGTTTCCTGAGCTAATGGACACTGCATTTTCCTATGTTCCTTTCAGTTACAGTGAAATACAGGCTAGTGAAAACCAAAAGGTATGTGGAATTTGTTGAACTTTTCTTAGAAACTTAAGACATAAATTTATCAGGTTTTAAGTCTTCCACTATGAGCTAGTACGATTTTTACTTCCACTCCAGTCCAGCAGGGACTGAAAGACAGCTAATCACTAGTCTGACACACCACAGAACCAACCACTTCTATCAGTTGTTACAAATATCGCTGCTGTCCTCTTTTTACCAGTAGGAAAACTGAAGTCTGAGGTGAGCTGACCTTGCCCAAGGTTACAGAGCTGAATGAAGAAGAGAATCCCACCCCCTCTGGCCAGACTTTTTGATTTCCAATACTTTTCTATTTCTGTGTAGCACTGAAGAAACAAGGGGCCACTTTCATAAATCTTTCAACTGCTGTTCAAGCATATGTGGCCAGTGGAAGTGTCCTTCCAAGGAACAGATTTCAAAAATTTCCAATCTCATGGTTCCCATCTACATGTTCAAAAGACACCAAGGCTGTAGTTCTTTACTTAGTTCCTACTGAAGATAGCATGTCCATCCAAAATACAGGTTTTTTTAATTTAGTCTTTCTTTAAAGTTGCTGCCTGAAATTTCCAAGCATATGATCCTGTTTAAGTTTTTACCAATAATGTCAAGTGCAGCACATGGTCAAACTGTTGTATTTTCTTGATCTGACAAAGGCTAAATGTCACCCCAACTAAAGCATTTAAATTGTTGTTCACATTCAGAGAGACAGAGCTAAGCTACTACTCAGCTTCCTTTCCTACAGCATACTTCATATTTATTCTGACATCTGCAACCACCAAGGAGCCTGGATTATAGCAGACCATAATACTCTATGAACCATGGTTATAATTAGGTGTCATATCCATTGTAATCCTATGGACGTCATCATGTGTTACCAGCATCTGTTGACAGATGTCATACCAGGCATATCACTGAAATGGCAAGTCTGGAGAGGACAGCCCACAATAGAAACAATGGCATTTATTTTTGGTTTGTTCCAAGACTGTCTAATAGAAAATATATGCTGCCAACTGCCAGGGCTCCACTGAGATCACTTTTCAATATTATATTACCAGTCAGAACAGATCTGTGCTCATGTATCTGCAATCTTCTGATTTATTCTCCTAATAAATAAGGAAAGGAAGAAAGCAAATTCTGCAACTGTCTTAGCGCCACTTAGAAGAAGATAGAAGCCTTGAAATTTTACAAAGTTTATCAGGCTCTTTAGCATGACAGTACTTATTTTTCATGTAATAAGTTCAGACTCCTTTCCAAGACAAGGAATGAGGCTTCCCTCTCCTAAACTTTATTTAAATGTGGTATCACTTTAATATTAAAACTATGCCCTGGGAACTGGCAACATAAAGTAGCAAAGCCACAATCTCTCTACTCTATGGAAGTAAAGCAGAGTCTGCTTTAATTTATCAATGTGGAAACCTGACTTTCTGCTGAAGCGCTGTCTGTTTGGAGGAACGGAAACAAAAAAATTTGCTATGGGGTCTTGTACTAGCTACTCCTTGCTCTTCTGTAAAAGTCAGCAGACTTACTGTAAACATAAGAAAGCCTACAGAACACAAATTCTCTTCATATTTTATTATTTATCTGCAGTGTAGGAAAACTGCATTAGAGTGCTGACTAATGTAGTAACCTGTCCATTATTTCTTTATTTTGAAAACAGCATTATCTGAAATGCTGGACAATTGAATCTGAATTAGATGTAACCACGACCTGTTACAGCTGAGCAGTTTCAAATCACTAAAGCACTTAAGCACTAAGGTAATTTCCATTCTCATTATAAAACATAAAAGAATAGTTCACCAGATAAAGAGTGTCAAATCACAACAAATGTCAGTGTTGATGAGTGCAGCTTAATAGCTGGTTAGGAGTTGCAGCAGCTGGTAGATCAAGAAAAGTGACTTTCAACCTGGCTCAGAACTTCTCCCACTATACTCGTACAGCAGGATACGAACAGGTGTGAATGCAGGAAAATGAATAAAACCAACTAAAACTCACAGAAGGAGGAAGGCTACAAGTAATAACTGAGAGGAAAATACTGGCTCTGCTGTGACTGTAGCGGTGGCTCAGACTCTGTCATCAAATATAAACTGGCAATTTGCACTTAAGTTTTTAAAGTGAGCTTCTCACCTATAGCAAAAAGCATATTTGACCTTATTGTCTAGAGTGTCACTTCTCTTTCTTCCCTCCCCCCCCCCTTTTTTTTTCATTCTTGTAACCAGCAGATAACCTTTTAATCCCAGATCTGTCTGCTGTGTCTTCAACATCAACTTTTACATTAGGAAGTAAAAAATAATTTACAATATTTCATCTCTCTCTTTTTCATATGCTGCTAAAAACTCCTAAAACTTTAGGTGTTCTGAAATTAGGTATTGCAAATATTACTAAAGTACCAAACCACTGACAAGACTGTTGATGGGATTATAATCTCTGCCTATGTTCAGAAAAAGAGCATGGGCAGTACTTGCTGGCATAATAGTTTTCTAACACCTAAAAGGCAAGAAGCATTTCCTTTATAATGGTATATTCCAAGGATTTTACAGACATATTTTTTCCCAGACAGTGAATTGGCATGTAGGAACCTAATAATGAAATACAGTTTTCCAAATCTAGCCTGGATATATTTCTAGGCAATATTTGCCTTGTCAGATCATTCAGTCAGAATTAGGAGTAAATTCTAGTAAGAACTGACTTGCAAGATCACAATTTCAGAAGTGATTTCTCAGTCTGCTTTCAGAAATATTGCAAACCTTTCTTGCACACCAATTTTGAATCATCTCATTCATCTCCCTGTTTATAATTGCAATCTACTGTTTTTGAAAAGCAGTCATGCACACACATCAATTCAGAGTCTGCTTTCTGAAAGGAAGACCCAGAAAGTGAAGTTAAAATTACTGAAATATTAATATATAAATCTAGAGGTACTGAGAGAATATTTACAGTGCAATAAAAAAAAGTTCATGACTCTCATAAATGTTTCATTTGACATAGGTTTCACTTAAGAATCCACAAAGTGAATGCTTTATCCTCAAAATATGGCATAGCTAATATATATTATATGCATGCTTTATACAATGTAAAATATATTTTCTTACAAAATTAGAACCCCTTATTGCACTGCCCTGACAATTCCAGATGCAGCATGGCAATCAGAGAGGGACATCACTCCACGCAATTCCAGATGCAGCATGGCAGCATGGCAATCAGAGAGGGACATCACTCCACCCAGAAGCACATACACAGACACACATTATTTATCTCCAGACCTTCCTTTGCTGTTTCTCCCATGCTGGGTCCAGGAGCAGGTCCCTGTCCCATTCTTCTTCCTGGGTCATGTACTCATCTTCTTCATAGTTGTAGGTGTACTGCATGTTTGTTTCTATCTGGTTCATGCTATTCATGCTACCGGGGGATCAGCTTCAGCTGCTGTGGCTTCTACTACGTTTAAATATATACGTATATTTTAAGCTTAGATTACTTGCTGGAGTGTTGTAGGTAGCAGTGTCTTTTTTCTTTCTTTTTTTCTTTTTCCAAGGTGTCAGGGAGCGAATACTGATGAGTCTTACAGAGAGCAGAGGCTGAAACTGCCAGGTAGGTGCTAACCTGTGGTGAACTTCCTTCTCTCTCTCTCTCCTGCCTGCCCTCCCTTTCCTTTCTCTCCCTCTCGCTGCTGCTGCAGGACCCTGCTGCGGCTGACCCTCCGGAGAAGCCCAGCGCGGCTCATTGCTGCGGCTTATTATCCCCGCCGGGCTGTCACGTGGGGCGGCGGCGGCGGCGTAAGCGCTCCGGCCCAAAGTTACTGTCTGCTCGGCTGTCTGTCTGTCTACTTTGATAAAATACCCGTCTTTTTATTTTTCCTACTGACATGTATTTCTACTTCTCAAGACCCATCTATGACTTGCTAATGTAGTTTGACATTGTTTATCACCTGATGTCTGTGTAGACCCTTGAGTCACTTCACACTTTCCTTTTCAGATTAGGGATCACAAGAGCAAGTGCAGGCAAGGACACCCAAGAGATGAAACAACTTCCAATGGAGATCATGTCTGGAGTTAAAACAGAAAGTATGGAAGCACAACTTAGAAAAACAACACGTATCTTTTTCATCCAGGAAACACGCTCAGTAACATCCCAAAAGCAGGCACCAAGAAAGACATACAAAGGTCTGTGGAACCAATAACTTAAAAAATGTGTGACGGGAACCCATGCTTTCCACAGGGTAAAATCTGAAAAGATAGTACTGAGATGAACCATCCTGGCAAGCATGTCCCGTATCTCCCATGCCATAACATTTCAGTTGCCCTGGCAATAATGTTTCTTCTGGGAATTGGCAAGTTTACTATGTTCTTCATGTAGCCTGTTGTTAACGCCTGCACCTGTATCATCAGCCAAGGTCATCCTCTCCAGAAGCGTCCACACTGGATAGAATTCGAACCTTACTTAGGAAATGCTCACCGAAGTGAGGTTTTGGAAGCCATAAAAGACAAAGTCATGTATAAGGGAGGGCTGTATTCAGTAAAATCAACCATAGGTCTCTAAGCCAACGTGAATGAATAACCAGGATAATTAAGTGCTAGACTGTATAAGTCCTCCACTTCATACTGCTAACTAAAGTTCTGCTTTCTGCCAAGTCACCTTCTATCCCATGTCTATGCAATTTAGAACATGCATACATGCACAGCTAATACCTACCCATCAGCTCAAAAAACCTTCATAAATGCAGCACTAATGTTGCAAATCAGAATTCAGAAGAGAATTGCAACATGCTTCATGCAGTCCAAGCAAGCTGAACTTCCAAAGACTGATGCACATACTGTAGGATAAACAGTCTAAAAATCAAATTCCAAATCTAAGCAGCAAAGTCAGAACTGCATGCTTTTCACCTGCTCAATGCAAATATTCTTAAGGTTGCCATCTATATAATGAAGCAATTGTTGATGAACGCTGTGCCTAGATTTTTTTGTTCAAGTGCAGGTGAGCATTCTCTTACAATACTCTTAGATAATATCGAATAGCAATTACAAAGCCAAATATTTCATGTATGTATACATTATGTGTATGCTGGTGTAATTTCTGTGGCTTATTTTTATAGCTACGTAGTCACCTGTGGTTTGTGATACACGTCCAATTTCAACACCTAAATGACTATTTAAGCCTTTGAAGTCAGTAAAACCATTTCTTTTTATTCACTATACACGGCACAGAAGTTTCTAGAGGAAAAGCAGGAAGAAGTCAGAGAAGGCCCAGAAGTATACACATAAAGCTGTAATGCTCTGAACTGTCTCCTGCGCAAAGAGCTGTCTCCTGCGCAAAGAGCTCCCCTGCACTGCCAAGACCTGTGACCTTTTATGCACTACCTCGTTAGAGGTGAGCCACTGCAATCAGCTCCGTGCCTTTCCACAGCACTGCCTTGCCTGGGGATCTATGTGGGTGAAGTCAGATGGTACTGCACCGCTTCCCACTGTGCTGTGTAGGTGAACCTTAGGGGTACTGGTGGCTTCATGCAGGGAGGTACTAGTTAAGCCACATTTTATTTGTTGGCCCTCATCCTATGACACGGGCCAGAGTGCCTGCGTCATGAAATAAAAACTGAGGCATTATGATGACAAAGAGTATCCAATCACACTGTGAATTAGGATTAGAGTCAGATCCATGTCTAGATTTCTGGAAATCGAAGGGAAATCTACCCAGATTTTCTAGAATTCTGAAAGAAGGTTATTAAGTTTTTTCATAAAATAACTGGATTGGCTCAAAACATAGCTAGCCACTGCTGCAAAGGTACTGTTCATTTTTTCTTGTTTACTTGGTACATAGGTAAAGTTAGTACTTTCATAACAAAATTAATAAAACAAAGATGTCATCATTGTTCTAAGGAATGAACAGCTAGAACCTTAGTATCTCTCAGCTAGTCTGAGAGATCAAAGAAATTCAAGTTAATTCTGAATAGGACTAAACTCACATTTTTCTGTAAGGGGCAAGTATTTCAAAATCCACTTTGGGTAGGTTATGTTAGCTCATTTTGCATGAAAAACTATTTCAGAATGAAAAAATCTCTTTTTAATTCTGAAAATGTCAAAATAGGGGGCTTCAACTTCATCAGTGTGCATTTTGAGAGGGTTGGGCTTTTTACCTATGAAACAGGAAGCTAAATGGAATACTCTCATTTTAGAAAAACTGCCTATCTTGATGGAATCTGACCTGTTTTAGGTTCTCTAAATAACTGCTTACTGCCCTTAATCAGACAGCATGAGTAGGCAGATATTTATAGATAGAGCTTTAGGAGGAGTATCTGGTATTTTGTTTACTACTTTAATTTAATTTTATAAACGAACTGTGTGGATGGTAATGAGAAGCATATGAATGGAGGTCCGTAGTGGAAAGAGAGCCAAAATGGAACTCTGACGCCAAACTTGAAGTAGAAAGGGAGCTGCCTCTTTCAGCTCACCTAGAGAAAAGGAAAGCTGTGCCCAGAAGTGTAGTAGGAATAAAGCAGTGTGCTTCAATCAGCTTATTCCCACATCAGAGGTAGGGTAGAACTATCCCCACTAAAGCTGGCAGTCACACAGCTACAAACTATGTGTGCCTAAGGAGAAAGAAAATCAAATCATAACAGAAATAGGCAAGCTGAGCAGGAAAGAAAGGAAAAAAATCCCAAGTCGAGGAAGAAACACGGTGAACCATACAGATACAGAATTTTAAGCTGACATAGCAAGATACCCAAGAGACAGCAGATATATTTGAGGCAGATATGACACAGATAGCTTACAATATGGCAAAACAGAAAGCATATTCATAACTGTCAAACAGATTAGAAGAAATAAGATAGTGCAGGGAGATCAGGAATGGAAATGGCAAAGCTGAGTTGTCAATGATTTTTATCTTTTATTTGGCAAAAGGTGTGCAGTTGTAATTCATACTTACATAAACGCTAGTCAGGGCCTACCCAGGAGAATGTCTTTACCCCAGGAGAACACAGGGGCAACAGGGTATCATCTCCCATGCAGGAGGAGCACCAAGGTGGCCAGAACTTTCCGAACAGGAGCCGCAGGTCTGTAGGTGAACTCACTCAGTATTTCTTATCACAGTTCCCAGTTATGAAGGATCTTTAAATCTAATACCACGTAAGCAAAAGCCTCCTGGCTTTTTTGCATTAAGTTCCTTGAGAATAAAGGGCTTTTCTAACTAAAGGAAGCACAGTTTTCACCTTCTGTGTCAACTTTTGTATTTTTTTAATGAAATGGAAATTATTTCACACAGTTTATATGTAGCATCCATTTGCTCCCCAAAAGCCATCATATCAGTCTCTGAAGAACATAACCCTCCATATTTTCACTGTTCATCAGACTTTCAGTCCCTTCAAACTGCTCTTTATTCTTCTATCTCACAAAATCTTAAAGATCATTCTTCTATTTGAACTTAGCGAGATTTAGAATAAGAAATTAGCCAGATTTGTCTACTTAAATAATTGTCTGTGAAACAATCAACTCAAGTAAAAATGATCACTGTTAGTTTTCAGCTGTAACACTTCTGTGTAGGAACACAATAGTTTGCATTTCCCAAAGCTGTCTCAGAAAGACCACAGGAAGATAAAGAACCTTATGAGAGTTCATTAAGTCAGTGAGTCTTTAAGCAATCATTTTTTCAGAGGTACAGCCTGTTTCTTTGTGAAAGACAGTTTCTCAAGAAAGAAGTCAATGAAAGATAAAAGAAAATAAATTCAAAGTGACTGTTCTCTTGTGTAAACTATTAACAAAATCTTAAAAGAGGGATCAAAAAGCCCTTTTCTTTTCAAAGTATATCAAAACTGTCGTTTAAAATGTACTTTTGCTTGTAGCAAATATCTACTAGTTTAAAGCTTAAGCAGCAAAAATTTGAATTATTTAAGGAATACATTGATAATTTTGATTGGGCCAAAATGTTGGACTCGTAAAAATTACGCATAACTTTCCCAAAGCTAAGCAGAAAGGTGGTGTGTGTTATAAAATGTTTTTATTAGAGTTCGGCAAAAATAACCCTTTTTTTCCCAATACAATAAACACAACCCATCTTCTTCAATGTAAGAAACACACTATTTCTTAAGTTGAGAAAAAACCCGAGGAATTAAATTCAATATGTAAAGATAATAAGAATAAACATTAAACTCGCTTTATATTCCTGATATGAACACCTACAGAAGGATGGCAGAAAGAAAGCAGAGAAGAGAAGCGTACATCTAGGAACAAAAATTCTGATTTTTGTCTGAGCTAAGGAAAAGCACTGTGGGCACTGAGCATATTAGCCTTCCCACATCTAGCACCAAGAGGCACAAACTTGGACTCTGAAAAATCCCCATGCTACTCATGCATAGTGATATTAACTGTACAGAAGCTAAGTATACACTATAATTATTTTTTTTAAAGCATACCATTTCAGATGACAGGTTTGGAAATAAAAATGGAGAAAGAGCTGAAAAAATGCATTGTTGCCTTCATAGTAACAACTGACATTGTCAGAAGATCCTGAAGCGTTTCATCAACTATATATAGAAACGAATTACTCTGTCCCTGAAATTCAGCCATGGATGAAGTGTAGCAAGAAACATTTATAGGGCAGACAAATACTACCAAAGCATAGCTTGG